ACAGCTTTTGCTGCAGACTGAGACTTCTTACTGCTTGGAGTGAATTTTAAATGTAAACTATGCTGTTAGTCCTTGTTTTGTTTGTTTGTTTGTTTTTTGACAAAGTGAAAAAAGCAGCAGTCATAATAATAATAATAAACAAACCCCATGTTTTTAGTAGTGGAAATTTATAAATATGTATACCTGTCAAGAGCCAAAACTACATTCTGAATTGCTAGTGCCCTCTTCAGTTTTCTGTGAAGCAAAAGGGTTTAAATCTGTAAGCCAGACACCTTGGTAGACACACTTATCTTGTAACTATGTCAAGGAATTCCATCAAGGAAAACTCACAGAAGAACCTAAGAGGACAACCTTTAAGTACCAGCTGAAGATGAGTTGTTGGTACGTCCCTTGGACTGAAATGGAAGACTGGAGTTGTGTCACTGCTGAGTCCACACAGATAGAAAAATGTGTCTTTTTATGGCCTGCTGCCCTCTCTAGGAAGCCGATATTCAGATATGTATCACACCTTAATGTCACTTGAAACAAGTACCTTACACAAAGCTCATTGAGGTCAGTGGAAAGCTTTCCATTAACCTTGTGGTGGTTTAGGTCTGGCTTTAATGCTCTAACTTTAGCACCTAATTATAAGCACATGAACATGGTGATTGACATTCAGGGGTCTACCCCTGTGCCCAAAATGTTAATAAATGAAGGCTTAATTGAAGAGCTTGAAATGTTACAGTCATCATAACAATGGAAAAAAAAAAAAAAAGAGATAATCCAGTCCTTCTATTAAATCTCTTAAATGTACATTTAGTCTTAAAGAGAAAAAAGTGAACACTTTTTCATACCTGTTTTCAAGTGTATTATAAACAATGTGAAGCTTAAGGGCAAACATGAGGGCTATAGGTAAGGAAACAAGTGTTACCCAGTGTTCTCTCTAGCTGGCTGTCTCTGGAGTCTGATCACCAAGAGAAACACTAGATATGTAGACTCAGCTGACCTTTAGATTACATGATTTAAAATTATAACAAAAGCTTAAAATGAAAAGGGCTGAATAACAGTATGCAGGAAATATATTTTCTACTTCTCTACCCCCTGAAATATCATCCTGTTGCCAGTCACATTTCTACAAATCCTTATGTCCTTTCACCCATATGTTCAAGCACACATTGAATAGGATCTTTCAAGAAATCTTTTCACAGAGAGCTTTTATTAAGAAACAATAAAAATAGCATAATAACAATGTCATAGCTTGTGTGGTAGGGTGTGAAAAAGTGACAGCAGCACAGTACCAGTGTGAACACAAATCAGGAAAGACAAGGAGAGATTTGTTGGTCAGGTTACTCCTCCTGACACAAACAAATATTCTCCATGTGGTACAGAATTGGAAGCAAATGAATTCATGTGTAGTGGGTGGGTGCAATGAAAAGCTGTTATTTTTTGATTGTGCCAAAAACATTTTGTTTCCTTTGTCTCAAAAAGAGATCTAGATTAATCTAAGGTGAAGAGTCTTAAAATACATATTCAGAGTAATTTATAAAGATTCATGTCCTTTTTTTGAAAACAGGAGCAGAGAAACTATTTATTATACATTTTTTTTTGACCACCATTTTACCCCTAAAAACACTTATGTGTCAGTCTGTTATCCCCCAAATTAAATAGATGTCCCAAGTCTCCCTTTGAGCCTTTTGGTGTGTATCTTACAGAATGCATCAAAATTTTATCTAGATCTTTTGCTTTTTTGCTCTTTTCCAAATTTGGTCTATTTATTCCCCTGTATAGCTGAAATTTTGCATATTTTGTGGCAAGTTAACCATGCAGAGCCTTTCCTGTGTAGTAATTTCAAACCCATTTATATCCAGTACAAATTTCTTGCAACTAAGCCTGGCCTATGTCAGATAACCAGTTCATCAACCCAGGTCTTTGGAAAACACAAGACAGTGTGTGCTGCCAATTTTGCTGCAATGAGCTGGATGTTCTGTATAGACATAATTCCTGTGCAGGCTTTGTAAATTACATACTTCTATGGAGTGCAAATTTTGAGAAACTTGCCTACCAGAAACTTGCCGGAAGATAGTTTTCATGGAAGAAACTATTTAAAGCACTGTCCTGAATAGAGATGAATTTTACCATCTTCTCTTTACAAAGAGCATAAATTCCTATGACTTCCTCAGAAACCAGCTGCCAAGGGAATGAAACATGAAGTGACTGCAGAAGCACCATGGAGGATGGAAGAAGGAAGGCAGTAGTCACTAGGCCTAGTGCTAGGTCTGGGAAGCTGTCCGTCCCTTAGTAGCCTGCACAGGTAAGGGAGAGAAAGACGTTTTGGTAGGTGTATAATACCTGAAGTAGATCAGGTGTGAGTGTCTTCAGGTTGCCATTGGAGAAGGCTATAAATTCTGCCATCCTGAAGTTAGGCTTTGTGAATGTTTTCGCTAATATTTGAAACATTAACTTCAATTAGACCATTAACACCATTTTGCAAGAGCAGAAATACTGAACAGAAGTTATTTCTGATCACGGGTAATTAAAGTGTAAGAGACCAAAGCTGGTCCTATTTTTGTTTCTTACATGTAATCCTTGAACACTGAAATCCAGAAAAACACAGAAGAATTTTCTTTTACATCAACTTTGGTAATGGCTTGGGTCTTTAGCAATGACTCAGGGAAGCAAATACCACATATTAAAGAACACAGTAATGGAGAGGACATGGTAGAGCTTTGAGTTATATGTATCCCTCAGCTGAGAAATGTCTGGCGACAAAATTTATAATTTTTTTACAATTATTATTTCTCCACCCTTTCTACTCAGCTGAATGAATTTAATCCATTCCAGACAGAGGTATTATTTAAGATCACATTTCCTGCTATTAAGCATGTTTTAAAAATAAGAAAATAATTTTAAAAAGAAAGTTTCCTTATTATCTTAATTCTCTAGGCAATGGTTTGGTGAATTTTTTGATAGAAAGATTTAGGAAGCAAAGCCTTAAACTGAAGCATTGTCAGGTACTGGATTCCAGAGAAAATCCAAAGAAAAATCCTGAGAAAAACTATAGGCCATTTATTTCTTTAATAAGCTGAAATCCAAAATCTGATTTTTAGGAAAGAGTGTGAGCTGTCAGACAGCAGTGTACTTTTATTCAATAGAGCGCTTAGGCAAATGACTGACATTAAGCAAATTCTCCAGTTTCACTGATCTCAGAACATTTTCCTGAGGTCAGAATCAGAATTTGATGAACAGGTCTGGATTTAAACATATGCTGATTTGCAGTCTGAATGAGAGTCGGTATCAAATTTTGCTTTTAGCATCCATTAATAATAGCTGGTACTGTACTGCAAGATATCAGAGTTAGAATATGTGAACCCTTAGCCCTGCACACCTTCAACAGTGTTGAGATGCAGTCAGCATCAGTTCAAGAGACCTGAGGGGTCCTATCAAGTTAATTCCTTTTTCTGGTTGAAATATGATTTATAGGTGGGGATCTTGGGGCGGGGGTGGGGCGTTGGTTTTTTGTTGTTGTTGCTGTTGTTGTTGTTTTTAATATCCATTTTTTTCCTAGCGTACCAAAAGCAGATTATTTTTGTCAATTAGTTACTTTCTTTACTATTACCCTTTTTTAAAGGAAGATGTGAAAGTTGTGGATTACTGTACTTAATGACAATGATACAACCAGGAAATATGTAAAAAAAAAAAAAAAAAAAGCAATATGGGAATACAGAAGTACTTGATAAAAAGACATACAAATATGCAGTTGTATTTAGATTATGCAGAAGCTTGAAATGCCTATGGTGGTTGCAAGTGAAATCTAAGATGACAAAATAACTGACAAATGAAGCAGATAGTAATGTTTATTAAAAAGTTGTATTTGTGACTTAAGGCTGTAAATTTGACATGAAATGTATGGCACATAAATAGTAAGACAGGTTATAGATCCCTCACTGTTCTGTTCTTCTATCAGTAAAACTTTTCTACTAGTCTGAAAGAATAAGAGGGATCTTCAGGCTTTTGAGCTAGGAATCAGCATGTGCTGAAGTGTAGGGAGTTTGACAAAAGAGCACCTAGGAGGGACAAATATCAAACCAGAATGACTGAGAAATGATAGAGAAGCATGAAACCTGGCAGCTTACCCTGTAAAGAAATGTAGTATGTAGAGGATGAGAAGCCATGCTGGAGCTCTGAAAGTGAAAAAGAGGATTAGCGTTCTAGCCAGGTGTCAGGAGGCGGAAGTCTCCAGTGGGTTTTGAGGACTCCAGTGTGAAGTCATGAAACCAAAGACAAAAATAGTGCTCTCAATAGATGTCATCTATGCCCTGCAGATGTCAGGGCAGCACCTCAGAGAGACTATTATCTTTGTCCTCACAACAAATTCTTCAGAAGAGCAGTGATTTTGCTTCTGAAAATCTCCAAGTGTGTTTTCCTGCTGAACATTCCTTCCACTGTTTTCATTTCCATTGTCATTTCAGGCTGCATCCACTGTGCTATTTGTATGATGTGCCAGCCTGTGTCTTTAGCAGAGGCTCAGAAAGGCTTCTTCCAGGGAAGTAAGGGAACATATAAGAGAAGCCTCATCCTAGGACAGCAGAAAATGTCTCCTGATACAAGGGAATGCTCCTGTTTATACCTCACTTTATCAGGCGTTAGTAGCAAAAAACACTTCACACACATTCTCAGGAGAAATGTAGGAGAAAAAAAAACTCGGGAGAAAGTATGAGATGGTATCAGATTTGGCTGTATGATTTGAGACTGTGCCTCAAACAGGAGAAAGTCTGACACATTAGGAATTATGCTGCTAACCCACTGGATATCTCCAAATCTCAGGACACACCAGTTTCGTATCTCTGCTCACCAGCAGTTATCTAAAGTTGCTCCTATGCCTATTCTGTATAAATACATAGTTTAGCCTCATCAAATATTTTCCAGCAAACTAACTGGGAGCTTTTGCAAATAATTCTGTTTTTTTTCTTCCATTGGATTGGAAGAGGATTGTTTTTCTGCTTGGGTTTGGTTTTTTTGGTTGGGTTTGTGTTTTTTTTTCCCAAAAAAAAGTGGGGAAAAAAAACACCAAAACATAAAATTCACTGTAATTGGGTTTTTTTTACTCCTAATGGGAAAAGCCATCTGTGAAATTCTTAATAGAAAAGCCTGGTTGGTTTTCTACATTGTATCTCTTTGTGAAAATGCACCCCCCTTAGCCTGTGAAAATTACTGTAAAGTAATAAGGAAATAATTTCAGACCATGGTCAAATTATTAGCAACATGTTCCATAGGGAGCCACAAAGAAAAGGGAAATCTCATAAAATACAAAATTGCAAAGCTCTAAAAGAAAGTTCTGTCTTATAATTCATTTTCTACATTCCCTGTCCTCAACCACAGAAACCTCCTTTTTAATTATATTACCTGCCAGTAGAGAAATACATGGAATTATAATGCACAAGAACACATTGCTACTTCAATATTCTACACTATTTATAGGACAGCACAAGGCACAGTTTTTGACTTTTAAATACTGGCAAACCAAATAATTTTCATTTCTTAGGCATTTATCCTTGTCAAATTTAGAACATATTAAATTTACCGTCACATCCTGAGATGGTTTTTGTTCAGAGAGACATCAGATCAGATTGCCATTTGTGCTACATTTACATTTATAGACATTTCAAAGACCTTCTTCTCTGCCAGAATGGTTTAAAGTGACCTTGCGAAAAGACAGTAAGGTCTACGTTGTATTTTAAAAAGCTGATTATTCAAAAAGGCATTGATTATACAGCAAAGTACACTGTATGACACAGAAACTCAGCTGGTGGATATTGTAGTTTCACTTACAGCAATCAAGTTATGTGGGTTTCCCTCAGGTGGGGATCTACTTGTGTATATTTCGTGTAATTAAAGTACATATACTTTAAGCAATAACAGAGCTCTATTTTGTGTATTTGTCAAATATTTCTGCACTTCAACCAACTGTAACCACTGTGAGTTTGGAAGCTAAACATGCCTATTACACCCAAACTATATTCATATCCTCCTTTTAAATTCTGCAGATCTTGATTAAACCATTCATTGTCTTGGAGATAATCCAGGTTTATACCATTGCATCTGAACACACAATATTATAAGCCTATACATAATTTATATAGATCAGCACTAATTATTGTGAAAAGCCTCAGATAGCTAAAGCTTAATTTTTTTAATACCATACCTGATTTTCACTGCCACCTGTGAGGATGGAATTGCACCTTGTCCAGACAGTGAGTAGTCCCATCTCCCTTTAGATTCTGGACACACATCTCAAGGCAAATTTACATGGTTCATAGGATTGGGACAGAGAATACAAATAATCCCAGCCACGCTAATTCCTGTCAGTGACAGCAGATGAAAATGGGGTTTGTTTTTTTTAAATTAAAAAGCCTGTAATATTGCAATCTGCAATCAGTTGGGACTGAAGGTCTGTTTGTGCTTTCATTGGCTGCTGTGAAACATCAGAGTTATCTCCTTCTCTGTGGAATTACTGTAGGGTTTTATTCTCTTAACTGAGAACAAAATCTCTCTCTCAATCCTGTCTTTGAACCTAAGTGATTACAGCCTGAATTGACTCTATGAATGAGACAACTGCATGTCCCCATTTAACATATTCTACAGGTTTCACAGAATCATTTTTCTGCATGCCTAGGCTGATTTTACAGGATTTTTACATCAACCAAAAACTGGATTAAAAAAAAAAAAAACTCTTCAAATCAGAATGTCCTAATTTTATGCTGGGATGTGTGTCCTCTGTAGTGACAGCTTTCCTGGGGTTCATATTGCTTCTAATGGTCTTAGACGGACACTCCTGAAAAGCACTTCTTTGAAAAAAAAAAAAAATAAATCAATAAGTATGTCTTTGTGCTAAAGCTCATAACTGTACAAAGAGAACAAAAAACAGCTGATGAAAACCATAGGTAGTAGCAGGTCTGACTATGTCTTATAATAAGATTCAGATGTAACTGCTGTGAACATTAAAGCAGTAAAAGGGGCAAAAATGCACAGCGTCCAATTTTAAAGTGACAACAATCAAAGTTCCTTGGAAAAAGAAGAAAAACTCTACCCATTCTGTTCTTGTTATGTAATTGTGCTTGTCCTTGGACACGTTTCACCTGCAATCACACTTCCAGCAGTTGGGTGTAGAATATTTATTACTTCTTTATATTTTGTCATCATCATCACTACTTATTTTTTTAAATGCGACTGGGCTTGCCTGCTTTAAAGAGGTTTTTGAAACATCTGTGTGCATGGTGGACATGGCTATAGTCTCATAATCCTCCTCACGGGAGCGGAAATGGCAAAAGTGAAATAAAAACTGCAGGTCCCTTTGGAAGTTCTTATTGAGAAACCCATAGAAGATGGGGTTCACACAGGTAGAGATCATGGCAGTGAGGTGGCAAATCAGGAACAATAGGTTGTGGCTGCAGGTAGCAACAGGCAAAATTTCGTGATTCCAATCAAAGACGATGTTGAAGATTGTGAGGGGCAGCCAGCAAACTGCAAAGGCAACCACTATTGAGATCAGCATGATGTTGATCCTTTTGGTTTCAGAGGATCTGTACTTACTGTCTCTTATCTTGTCCATCATGTTGTTCCTTTTTTTCAGCCGTATGTATATCTGCAGGAAATTCAAAATAGAGAAATGTGGAATAATTTAACCTACAGCCATCAACTTTGCAAGGATAAACAGAAAAACAGACAGAAAATGTACATATTGCGACAGGATTGTCTCTTACCTTCAAGTAGCAAATAAATATAAAACAAAGCGGTCCGAAGTATTGAATCACTAAAAGCGTTGTGGTATAAGAGAGCCTAGCAGTGTCCAAAGGGAACAGGTCCAAGCACACATATTTGTCCTTATATTCATCAAATGTTAGGTTTCTGAAGGGTTCATCTGTTAACACATGGTAGATCAGGAAAGGCAAAGACGAAGCTGTGGCTAAAATCCATATGGCAGCAATCCCCATGTACGCATGTCTATTGTTTGGCCTCCAGCCACGAGGATTAATGATCAGCTGGTGGCGTTCAATAGCAATGAGGACTAAAGAAAAGACTGAGACTGTAATTGAGGCACATTGCACAAAAGGATTCAATTTGCACATGGCCTCCCCAAAAATCCAGTGGTCCATTAAAGTATACACAAAGGTAAAGGGAAGACACATGATGGTCACTAAAAGATCAGAAAAGGACAGGTTGACTATGAGGATATTGGTAACATTGCGCATCTCCTTCTGTTTTAAAATAATGACAATCAAGGCCAGATTCCCAGAAACTCCCAGAATTATCACAGTGCCGTAAGCCAAGGCCAAAGTAAAGACCATGGCCAAAGGCACATGGCAATCTTCATCCTCAAACTGCAAGAACTGTGAGTTCTTCTCTGAAAAATTCAGAAGACCGGTCATATTTCCCAGCGGGGTGAGAACCGAAGAATTCATGTCGTTTCCAACTCTCCACGACCTTCACAGCCGCCGCCGCCGGCATCCAAAGCGCTCCCGGCGTTCAAACCGTGCCCGTCAGGGGACCCTCTGCCGAGCCCGCTCCTCGGTGCCGCATCCCCCTCGCACCACCTGGGGAGAAGGGAGGGAGCAGGGCCCGTCACCCCCGGGCACGCTGCCCGCCCCGACACACGCACGCCTGCCCCCCGGCGTGGAGCCGCGGCGCCCCCGGGTCCCGCGGGGAGAGGAGCCGCCGGTGGCCGGCGGGATGCGCGCCGCCATTCCCCCCGCCGGTGCCGAGGGACGGCCCGGACCGCGGGCGGGATGGTTAGAGACAGCCCTGCGGGTGGGGAGGGAAACCCCGCGGGAGGACGGCGGCGTCCGTATCGTCTGGTCCGAGGTGGGAGCGGGCACCACGGTCCGCGGGAGGGAAGGCAGAAGGCGGGATCGAACTGCGGGTCTGCAGGCAGGGACGCGACCCTTTCCCGAACTATTCCAGACCCATTCCCGCCGGCACAAGTTACCCGAAATAATCTGAGAAGCAGTGTCAGTCTTCCAGCAGCGTAGCCTTTACTTTACGTTTTACACCTCCTTTGTACAAGTTTAAACTGCAGAGGTCTGCTTTCTTAAGATTACCTAAGTGGAATTATAACCAGCAATCACATAAGCAGGGGGGAAAACCCATCTGACTAATGTGAGGGTTGGAAAAATGATTCGAAAAATTGCTGCATTCCCTTTTACCTAATAATGTTCACTTGATGTTGAGCGGCTGAGTGCCCACAGCAACACTGGCACTGAGTCAGCGGCAAATCAGGAACTCTGAACACCTTAATCTCAGCTAGCAGCACTGTGCAGCAAAGAAAGAACAAAACAAGATGAAAGATAAAACAGCAAAAATTAAACACTGCAGAATTTTTTTTATCCAAGCAACACAGACTTGCCTAAATGACAACCTTTTTGCAAGGCCTTGAATTTTAATAGCAGAGAAACTCCGGCATACCTGTTCAGGAGGGAGAAAAATAAAAGAAAGAAAGAAATCAAGTAACCTGGCACACCTTTACTCCAACTCTTCATCAGTGGCAGCTGCGCTGAACCTGGAACCTTCCCTCTGTGCACGCTCTCCCATGAGCCAAATTTATGGCTCACTTAACCTTAGATTAAAATAATGAAAGTAATGCTACTTAAAATTCACACAAGTGGGTTTCAAACCCGGCTCCATATGGCACTTATCACAGAAGCTGTAAAAACATTGCCCACTAAAATGTACTTCATTAAAAGTTACCCTGAATGGGTGAGCTTTTGGTCTTAAATAATACTCAATATAAATCTCAGTGCCTTCTAAGTCTCCAGAGCAGAATGATCTTTGCCTGTCACTTGCTTTGTTACTGGGGAGATTTCCACTGGATACCAAAGGGGAATTTTCCACAGTGAGAAGAATCAGCCATTGGAATAATCTCCCCAGAGAAGTGGTGGAGTGCCCAACAGGACACGTAAGATTTGGCTGGACAGGGTGCTGGGACATCTAGTCTAAATCATGTTTTGCCTAGAAAGGTTGGACCAGATGATCCTTCAGGTCCCTTCCAACCTGGTATTCTGTGATTCTAGCATGGCAGACACCTTTTTAACCAGCCACTTGCTGAAGACCAAAGCTGGGGTTGCCTCCTCACTGGGGCAGAGTCAGCATGTGAGGGCTGGGCTTGCAGCTGCATCTCCTCATGAGGGTCAGGCAAATAATGTTCTTGCCAGTGCCATGTCTTCTCACTGGCATCATGACCTCACCTCAGCTAACTGTGCTGGTTCCTTATAGTCACCACATGGCTACACAAAACTGCAACAGGCGGTGTAGCTTGACATTGACATTTTACTGTCAAAGTTAATATCAGTGATTTCAGACAAAAGGCATTTCTGCTAAGGTTTGTTTGCTCTAGTTTTCAAGCTGGATAGGTATACACCTGGGCATTATCTCTGAGACCTGCCGCCTCTGCTAACTACATTTATCTTGCCTCCCTAGTCCACAAAGTCTAAACAACCTCCCACCCCCTGTGCCTCCTGAAACATCACTTTAGCCAGAGGCAGAAGGGGAAGCATGTGGGTGATGTGGAGAGCCAGGACTCCTCAATTCCGAAAGTATGACTTTACCCCAGCCTGACAATCAGCATGTGGATTACATCATGACCTCCACTGTCACTCACAAAGCATGAGGTGGACAGTCCAAACCTGGAACTTGATGGGATGGTGGCAGGAGCAAAGTGGGTGAGGAGCCATGTGCTGCAAGGAGAGAACTGGGCAGGTTTTCTCACCAGCTGGGACTGGACTGCACCCAGCAATGAGGTGACATATGTTTCAGGCTCTTAATTTTTCTTTTCCCTGAGCCAAGCTCTGCTCTTCCTTATTTACTAAATATCAGACTCAAAATCAGAAAATGCCACTGCTCCTTCTTCTCTTGCCTCTCCCCGTAGCAGAGATGCTACCTAACAGCATGGCTCAGAAACACAGCACTGATGTCCTTCCTTCCTGCCCACCACTCCAAAATGGGCCAGATATCAGGAGGGGGATGAAGTTGCATCTTCTGGACAGCTGCATGGCTCCCTGTCCCCTATCCCACCAGTTCCCAAGCCAGGAGGGAGATCCCTCTCCATGCTGGATGCCGGAGTGGCATCAGAAGAGCCCACAGACCCTCCAGGGGACTGCACAGTCTCCCCCCAGCACACACACCTTTCTTACTCTCCAGGAGTCAAAAGTTTAGCACCAACAGACAGAAAGGGTGAAATAACATTTTGTGAGGTGACTGGAAATACACTGTAAAGCTATTGGAGCTCTTTGAAATGAAGCACAAAACTGTCCAAGGCGATGGTTAACCCAGCCACTCTCAAGTCCAGCCTGGAGCCTGCCCCTGCCGGGATTTTGTCATCTGCACCTAAGAGAGCAAGCAAACACCGGCCAAACCGGACGCAGCCACCCACAGTCACAGGAAAGAAACCTCAGGGGAAACTCACCTTGCAACTGCTCTGTCTGCCTTTGGTCTGCTATGGGGCTGGCTCAGGAGGCTGGATGGAGTAGGAGCAGGGAAAGATCCTCTGATATTCCTCCAGCTGAGATCCTAAAGATTGGTGAGGAAGGCTGGAGACTCCCCCTTAAAGCCGAACTCCACCTTATCCCAGTATCACATGATGGTGCTCTGCTGAGCAGATCCTGAAAATCTCACTGCAAGCACATCACCTTTAAATTCCACATCTGGGGGTGGGTTGCCTAGTAATTCCGAAATAAATGCAATTAAATATTGAAACAAAAGAGGAGGGGGAAGAGCACAGGGAAGAGGTTGGGAAGGGAGAGTTTCAAATCTGTCTGGCTGTTTCAGTATTTTGTCTGCAAGTTATTGCCATCTCGTGGCCAAACTAAAGATGGAAATAGAATCTTTGCTGGAAAGGGGACAAGTGATTTTAAGAAGCAAGTTGCAAAGTTCAGGTTTGGGTTTTTAAACCAGTACAACTAGGTTCTGCTCTGTATTTATCATGAAGAGAAATAACCAGATTGATAAAAATTGTCAAGTTGCTGTTCTTGCTATTTATTTTTTCAGCTGGAAGTAATAAAAAGCTATTTAAAAAGTAAATTAAGTCAATAAAATATCAAACCTTGAGAAAATACAGCTATCACTACAGCCCTTTTGGGTATTTTTCTGATTTACCCTAGCCAATTGGTTCACCATCCTCTATGGCCCATGGAAAAAGGCATTTCTGCAGGTTCATACACAGCAGTGGGATATTCCAAAGATCTGGAAAGAAAATGGACCCCTGAAAATCAACAAATCTCCATGGTGAGATGCAGAGCTGGAAGGGTGGTGGCTGTTGTCTTGGTCAGCTCTTCTACTTCTTTCGAAAACTCTGGTTCCCAGCAATAGGATGGGGGTTTTCATGCAGCTGGCATGACTAGCTCTGCAAACTGCTACCAGCTATAGCACCATAGACTGGTTTGGGTTGGAAGGGAACTAAAAGATCATCTGGTCCAACCCCCCTGCCATGGGCAGCAACACCTCACACTAGACCATGTCACCCAAGGCTCTGTCCAACCTGGCCTTGAACACTGCCAGGGATGGAGTATTCACAACTTCTTTGGGCATCCTGTTCCACTTACTGTTTCTTGAACAAATTCATAAAAAGCAAAATGGAAAATTTTACTTTCCAGTCACTATTTTTCATGATCCAGAAAATACTTGCCCTCTCTTACCCACAAAAACCACTGCTGCAGAAGATCTACTTCAAAAGGCATAAAATCCAGCGAGTTTGAAAGTCAGGTAGGAGTTATCCAGATAAGTAGCACTTTGAAAATGCCATGACAGACCCTGAAGGCTGTGTTAGGAGTTTGGATTTCTTGGAAAACAGAAGTGCCCAGACTCTTCCCAAGGTTCCAGATTAATTTTTCAAGGTAAGGAATGACATCCAGGCATATTCCTATTCTACAGCAACACTGTTACATCATGGATAACTTCCAAGTGAGGAATCATGTTAATTATAGCTAAAAAATCAGTTGCACATAATAAAAGATTGTATCATTTTTTGCAGCATGAGCCTCATGGAAAGGTTTCAGAACCCAGCACTGAGGTTGATGTTTACACTGTATTTCCAGGAGCTCGGCTCAACTGCATTGCAACTGCAGTCCTCGATTTGAGAAAGGCAAGTGCAGGCATACCTCAAGGTTGCTGTAAACCAGGAGCTGGGGCACTGCTGAAATTTTAACAGCAGCAGCCAGAAGGTAAGTGCAGGATGTATATAATGTCTTTCAAGAACTTCAGTCATATGTGGGTCATTAACATGCACCAGTCTCCTCCTGAGCAGAGCAAAGGTGGATACACTCAGGCAGAGATCTAAGATGAAGATCCCCAAAAGACCATATTTCTGTCTGAAGCAGTGACACTCTAGGGCATGTAGAACTAAGGACTCTCATTGCTATGGATGTGGAATGATCCATTCACATTGCAAAAAAAAAAAAAAAAAAAGAATTATTGTCCAATATAGAGATTTTTAAGGGCAATAGATGTATTTCTAAGGCAGGGGGGAAAAAAGACCTTTTATGTTAGGATAATCCCACTACTTCCATGTAATGTTCTTACCCATATGGGCAAGATGGCTATTTTAAAAGTTAAAATAAGCATTCTGTGATACAGCACTGTAGTACTCTGCCACCAGGTACCCAAAAGAGAGACGTATTTTTAGGTCTGGTTCAGAATAAAAGGCTTGGGTTTACATGACAAAGTTTTGATAGCAGTGGGGCTTGCAGCAGTGGCTTCTCTTAGAAGACACCACTAGATGCCCCCATGTTAGAGCCATTTTCAGCTGCCTCCAAAATGGACCTGCTGTTGGCCAAAGCTAAGCCTATGCTGGTGGTACCCCTTTGATAACATATTTAAGAAAGGGTAAAAAATTCTGCATATGAGTTGTGAGAGAGAGGAGTGAGAAAAATGCAAGAGAACCAGCTCTGCAGACACCAAAGTGAGTGAAGAAGGAGGGGGAGGAGGTGCTCCAGACACCAGAGCAAAGATTCCCCTGCAGCCCTGGGTGAGAACCATGGTGACACTTATTCCCCTGCAGCCCATGGAGGACCATGTTGCAGCAGACATCCATGCTGTGATCCATGGAGAGAAGACAATGCTGGAGCAGACTTGTGACCTAGCAAAACCCAAATAGAAAAATGCCAGTGTTTCTGCCATTTCCAAAGTTTCACATAGGTATGATCTTCCTTCTCCTCCTTTTTGTCATTAGTCATGAGGATCTCCACTTCAGCAGTAAATGAAGCAATTTACAATACTTCACATTTTAATGGTTAGCATATACAAAAACTTTAAACACAATATAAACACAGGTCAAGCAAGCCTCACGAGGCCTCTTTTATACTGTGTAAATATACTTATTAAGAGATCAAAGATAGATCCTACATATCACTCAGTGACCTGGACTCACAGTGACAGCAACAAATATTCATAGAGTTATTCACTTTGCAGATGGATGCAAGGTCAGGCTTTTTCCAGTGCAGCGGCGCAATGGAAAGGGCTGCCTTAGTCACTAAGTCTTTCCAATGTATATGCTATATGTATGTGTATGTATATAAATATATATACACACATGCTATAACCTGAGCCTTACTACAAGTTTCCTGCTCTGCCATACTGTGTGTGCCCACCCCAGATGACTGAATCTGTTGAAGCTGTATCAATCTTCTCTGAAGCATTTCACATACATGTTAACACTAAAACACTCCAGTAAATAATCACTCTAACAAACAGACAGGCTCTTTTCAAACTTTTTCCATTGTAGCTATATAAAATATATGTTATTCAGTAAATGCCACATAGCATCAGGTTATGTTCTGTAGGAAACTCGGGCGTTCTGTAGGAAACTCAGGCATTCTGTAGGAAATTGAGGCATTAGCAGTTCTGAGCTATTCTGTGCATCTCAAGTCTTGACACCAAGCTGTCTCTCCAGCTGGAGCATCTATCTCACAAAGATGTCAGATGACTCCTCAGTAACTCTTATTCTATTGATGACCACTATCAGGTCACAGGAGCACTGGAGTAGGAAGATAGCCATCATGTTAAAGATTATCCTCTCCCAGGGAGTAAATTTTTTCAGTGCATCAAAGGCACTCTGGACTGGAAGACTGTTTGTTTGTGTGCAGATGTTTATTTGTGTGAAGGCATGACACTGCAAAAAGAGAATATAAGTACAATAAACAGAACACAAGTATCTCAACTAAGGAAACAGAACAGCCGGAGCAAAAGAATGCAGAACTGCTTTGAAACAAAAGCATTAAGAAAGGAACAAGATGTTTTTAAGAAACACATGAGAAAAATATGCCAAGAGATCAACCCATTAAAATTCTCTCTCACTGTAACTCTTGAAAATGGAAGAGATGTCATGCAACAAGACTGTCACTTTCATTACAATGTATTGTCATGTGTTCAGGCAATGCAATCCCCCTGTAAATCATAAAATCCACTAAGTGATTTGTGGTTTCTACTGTATGTAAAACAAACTGAAGTCACCACTATGGAAATGAGGAACCACTCTCTGAAGGTTTTAACTTTATTGTTTTCCTTTTCTAGTAATGAATGTCAGTACCCCTGAATTACTTGCCTTTCATATTACTCTATTACAGATAAGAGAACTCATGCTCCTTGGGGCAAAAGCTTGCCATCCATAGACTAAATTGGCATTTTGCTGTTGAGTACAATGAGAATAGGAGCAAATTCTCATTTGTCTAAGAGCATGTTTATTCTGCAGCGACTGCAACTGACACCAAACATAACAACACTTTGTTTGACTACTAATGTCACAAACCTAAAGAAGCTGCCTGAATGATTATGTGCTTAATCTCTGCTGAGAGTTTTGCTGCTGCAGTTCCATTTTCAACAATGCAGCCAAGCTATCCTGATCATATGCAATGTTACTTAAAGACTGCTTGATATATAACCTAAATTATGTCCATCTGGCTAAAATACTAAGTCATGTTTTCTGCTACAGCTACTCCACTCTGTCCACTCAGGGTTCAAATTCATGTACACTGATACACAAGCTCTCACCCAGCTTCAGGTGAAGCAGAAATAGGCCCTGTGCTTCAGTCAGCATGATCATCCAGAAGAAGCATTAATAGTCAATGTGCATAACACAAGCCAACAAATGGGATGACACATGATAGGCAGCAAAAATGATCAGTTACAAGCTCACCCTTGGAAGTAGTTTGTTAGCTAACTGTCAGGTATCCTGCTTTTCATTGCAAAGACATCTCAAGCATTGCAACCTTTTTAGTAGTCCAAGGCTTGCTAACTTCATGCCCAGCTGCTTTATGTGAGGTAAGAATCTGTGGAAAAGATGGGCTATGCAAACCCCAGACACTAGTGGCATTTTTAATAGTATATTTTAAATAATATTTTAATAGTATTTTGGAGTGGAATGAACAGGTGGGTTGTTATGTATGAAAAATTTTGACCAACAGAAATGCTTTATATGTACCTCACAAAATGCCTCAAACTCTGTAGAAGCTATGTCCTAACATGTTAGCCTCTCTTGCCTGTGGATAGATGCTCTGTTGGTAGCAGACTTTACGATAACTTTAGACTTTGACACATGGGAAACTTTGACTCAGGATGATTGACTGCATGGACATAAGGTGGTGTAGACGTTGTGTTATTTCTGACATTTATCAGTTCTCACTGACTTCCATTGGAGCTTTGAGTCTTCATGTCTTTCACAGTTAGCCTTTAGAGGCTAAATTTTCTAAGATACTGGGATAATACTCCCAAAAGGAATATATATCCTTCCTCAAGGACTCCTGTATGATTTCAACAACCCTATGGAGGCTGGTTTCTAGGGAACTTGTACTAGCATCTGCTGTCACTCCTGGCATTAGATGCCTCTAATGTCAGTACCTTTCCTATCTCTAGATCACCTATTTTATTATTCAGTAGTATTACTGGCAAGACAGAGGTACACAAACAGTGAAAAGGAAAAAATGTTAATGGTCTGAATAGTAATTGCCTCTGATGTGCGCAAGTATCGGTAATGAATCGTTCAAATACAGCTGAGAGAAATCTGGTGTTATTTACAGGTCTAGGGGAAAAAAACCAAACCACACAAACCCACACCTGCCACAGTACATTATTGGTTAGTGAACCCTCCTGAAATAAGACAACTAATAAAACAAGTATGATATTTTATTCTTAGAGAAAATTGCTTTGAGGAGGAACATTCTAAAAAGCATGTAATTTCTGGAGGCTGTTTGGGAAAATGTAGTAGGTGACTGCCCACCTTAGAAATGGTCAATAAGAGGTAGGCTGTTTGTACCTTTACAAAGGTACAATGGCATCCCACATAAATCATAGCTGTGCAATGTGAGAAAGCATAATTTCCCACCTGTGGGCTCTGCCAGCAAATTTAGACTTTTTTTTGAGAAAATGTCAGTGTGCTGTAGCCAAAAGTTTTCATAGAAAGGTATAGTGTCTCTGAAACTTCACTCTGTCCAGGAGGGAATTTCCGCTTTGAGCAGTGGGGCCAACAAAGCGAGAAGCTCTACTGGAACAAGGTACATGCAGGTAAATTGGTGCCCTGGCAGATGGTCTTAATCACCCCCACAGCAGGTTAGAACCAGGTCAAATACTTGCATGAAAATCTTCAGTCATCACTGTTAGGTGGGAAAATGGTCAAAAATACAAAGAACATCAGGCCTAAAAAGGATTAATTATGTTCTTCTTTGTGACTAACAGGAGAGATGTCTTAAAATGATGAGATGGATTGGCACATCACTTCCACCTGGCAGCTCCCTGTGCTCCACTTGCACATGCGGTGATTCACCAGCAGTGGGTGGGGAATAATACAGAAGCATGTACAAGAAGATGGAACTCACTCTTTAATCTTCCTCACCATCCTGACCTCATCTGTTGAAGACTAAGGTTAATTGTTCCCTTATCATCTACCCTAAAACGAGGGTTTTTTTTTGACCTAAGTTAAATAAGGAATCTAACTGAACTTTCTGAAAGTTGTCTTACAGAATGGTCGATCCATCTGTTGGGTAGAGTCTTTCAAAGGCTAATTATACTGGCAGCTCTTCTGCGGTGCTTTGTTAATATCAACTGTCGAAGGAGTTTGCCTTGGCAAATGGAAAAGTCATTATATTTTCGTGTCAAATTCTGCCACTTGTGCTCCCAGAGATGTTCATGTCACTCAGTTCTCCAGCAGCCCTATAACTGGGCTATGATCAGTGACTCTTCTTACGCTAGAAGATAGCAGCTGGTGAAAACAGCAGAATGCACCTTTTCATGCTTTGTGCTATAACATACCCAACATTTTTTATGCTTTAAAATTGTGCTTACTTTAAAAAATGTCCCGACTTCCCACTGGTAAAATTAAAACCACCCTTCAGATACTTGCCTCTGTAAGAAGTGAGTTATTCAGCTCAGAAAGGAAAACTGTTTGGGGGAAATCCATCACCTCCCACCTGTTCTAAAAGAATGGTAAAAATTAAAGGGTTTTCGAGTAGCACCAGAGCTCCGCTCCAGCCAAAGTGAGGGGAACTAGCTAGAGAGCTCTCAGGTCAGTGCCCTATGATTGCTCGGCAGTCCGCAATGTCCCGAGGCACGCAGAGCGTTCCACCTTTGCAAAACGCCGTGTCCTGGATTCCAGGTGAGAAATCGAGCGCATCCGTAACTGGCGAGCGGGGGCTTTGTTTACAGCCCCTCTCTATTTCCATGGAAACTCTTAAGTGTCTTAACGCGCAGCGCTGGAGAACGGGCTCCAGATACCGCCCGGAGCAGCCGCCCGAAATGCGCCCGCGCGGCGACTCCAGCTGCGGCCCCTCTAGAGCCGGCAGCGCTGGGCGAGGAGCGGCGGCGGCGGGCGAGTAGCGGCAGCGGTACCTCGTCCCGGGGCGCGGCTCTCGGCCGCAGCCGAGCCCTGCCGCCGCCGCCGCCGCCGCCAGCAGCAGTCGCGTAAGATGCGCCTCCAGGCAGGCTGGGGGATGTGCTCTTCCCCCTTCTCCTGGGGAGCCGCGCTCTCCCCAAGAGAGCCGGAGCCATGAGTGCCGCTGGGGCTCCCCGCCGCGCCCCGCGCTACACATCCGCGCTAAGCAGAGCGGGACTTTCCGCCTACCACCGCCGTAAAACCACGAGACACCCGCAGCCGGGAGGTGCGCATAGGTAATACTCCGCGGGGCGCGGAGCCGCCGAGCTTCCATCGCGGGGCTGCGGAGCAAGTTTGCGCGGAGCAGCGCCCTGCCGGCGTGTGCGCGGAAATCGTCGGGGTGCGCTTCAGCCGCGGGAGGGTTTGGCCCCGTCCTGTCCCGTCCCCGTTCTGTCCCGTCCCGTCCCATCCCATCCCCGCCGTCGTCGCGCAGGCCGTGAGCGCGGGGAGCCCAGGGCTCCGGGCTAAGGAAGGGTGCGGTCTCTCGGAGGCAGGGCGGTGCTGAGACAGGTGTAGAAGGGCGAAAACAACAGTCTTTCCCATTTTGGTTTGGGTTTTTGCCTTTGCAAGCCAGGAGCTAATGTGCTTCCCAGCATAAAATGTAGTGATGTGTTTCAAGTTTTCTGCTCTGGCCAGCAAATCCCTCATTATATTGCATAACATTTCCTTAGAGCTGGAGACTATAAATTGTTCACAGCTCTAAAGACTAATTTTCCTGCTACACAGATTGAACTGACTAGACTATACAGGGACCCAGCAGTCAGAGTTAACTTAATAGGTACTGCTACTGTAGGATAAAAACTCTTATCCATGAATAAACCTTAATGTTAGTATCTCATCTAATAGAAGGAATATTTTCTGAATGAACAACTGCCTTCAGAGGAGGATGGTTGCCTACCTTTGTGTTTTTCAAATTGTAGCTTTATGTAGGTAAAGAAAGAGAAATATTTAGCTGAATCACTCTCCTAAATTATGATTTATGGATTTTGTATTTTAAATGATAGGTTTAAGTGAAATAATGAGTTTAATGGTAAGATTTTAAAGCATATTTTAGGTTATGTGGTACCTCTAATTTGGCTAAACCTGAATAATGGTTTAAGCCATCCCTGTCACTCTCAGGCCTCAGATCAACTGGAGCTAAAAACTCCTCTGAAGCATGATTTTGCTGAAAATAAGAATCACGGTAATCAGAGTTACACTGAGATATATCACAAATGACTGTGATTTAAGGAAGTGTTACTTGTACCTTGATCTTCCAAGATTTCATCAGCTGTCATAAAATACATTTTACTGTAAAAGGTAACCACAAATACTAGTATTTAATGTTAACTGCATTTGTGTGGTTCTTACAGTAAACACTCAAATCTGCCTGGGATCCTGCCATAAAACTGCAGTCCCTCCTGCCTTGTACAGCCTAGCTTCCTGTCTCAAGCATCCCACTGAAACTAAAAGAGATATAAACAAACCTGTCTAAAGCTCACAGGGTGTGAGCTCATACAGATGTAGCTGAGCACAGTCTCAGGGAGTGTTCACAGACCAGGGATACAGAAAAGGGACCTCATTTGCTTGGCTGGTTGATGTAGGAGATGAACGAGATCCAACCTTAGGAGCTGACAGCTAGAAAATCTCCTTCAGGTTGATTAAATTTTGTCTTGAAAACAGGCTCAAGAGCACCTTGGCACTGTGGTGCATTCAGGTTGAAACACACTTCAAATAGGAGAATGTTTTCAAATGAGGCTGTATTATCTCATTCTATTTCCCACAGTGGGATTTTCAGGAATCTTCATTTCCCTGGAAGCTATGACCACATGCTGCACTGAGGCTGACCAAACAACAAGTGGGGGAGTGAGTGAATCCCCCAAAATAGAAGCAGCTGTTAAAACAAAGCAGGAAGATAAATGCCAATAAGTACACACAGCCCTGTGAAATCAGTGGTATGCTAATATTAATTTGGGGACTGAAGATCAATGATCCTGGAGAAACACTCCTGTCTGCATCTTTACTGCCACTGGCGCTCAAGCTAAGAGAGCAACTGGTCCTCTTTTGAGTGGAGAGGAAGCTCAGAGAGCAAGAGATCCACTCAATTTTTAAAATTTGGAGGGAAAAGTCTGCTTTCATTTCACACATCCAAAATGAAAATAAAATTATCTTGGGACATTTTGCAAAGGGAGCTTCTACCAGCACAGCAGTTCTCTGTTGAAACCAGCAGATTAGAGTCTTTCTCCCTTCCTTTCTGTCTTTCAGCTGTGACTAGAGATGGTGCAGAAATGCCTGCAGAGCACTGCGCTCTTGGGATGCCTCAAGTGTCCAGCCAGGGCCTAACCAGAGCATATTGTAGCTAATGTTCCAGTCCTCCTTCCTCATGTAAATCAGGACATGAGGTAGGGGAGATGGCACTTTCTCAGCTCTCACCCATGGCAAAAGGTGGCTGGAATCAGAGATGGAAGGGGATGGAATCAGAGAGCCCACGCTGGACTTCAGGGGTATTCCTGGAAGCTTCTTCAATACTGATGTGTCTCAACAGAATATATCTACTTTAGCTAAACCAGCATATTCACTTTTTGTTGGTCTTTTTTGTTTGGTTGTTTGGTTGTTTTTTAGAAAAGAATTTTTTAAGAATTCTTGTAAAGTCATGATGAGCAACTCTACTGAATCCGTACTGGAGGTGTAGAAATCCACAGAACCTGGCAACAATCTTTCAGTTAATTTTTTAAGAACTCAGTAAACTTTCATTTAGTAAACATGTTCCAGTATAATAACACATAATATTTTGTTCCTTGGCCCTAGTCTTAGCATTACCTGTATGGAATAGGAATTTCTAGAAAAGAAAATAATTACAGTGCATCTGACTTGAGAGTCTCTTTCTTTTCTCTTTCTTTTCACTTTTGCTCACCCAGAGCTGAAAGTGGTAATAGGAAATAACAGCAACACCAACAGATACTTTTCAGTTCTCTTCATAGAATCCATTGATCAAAACTAAGCAAATCTGGACAAAAATACACAGATTTCTCTTGAGACCATACCATGTAATTGAAAGGAATTGGACTAACTAGATAGAGAGCCTTTCCTACCAGTAGGGATGCCTGCTTTTTCTCCATGCACTGATAAACCTATGGCCTACAATCAATCTTTCCAATGACAGACAGTATCGCAAAAATAATCTAACAAAGAAGCTGTAGTTTTCATGCATAGGTCAACAAAACTTTCACATATTTGTAGCTATAATTGTAAATTAAGCATCAGTGTGCACTGGTGGTACTCAGTATGACCTTTGGACAGATATGACTATGTGTGGGAATTAAACTATTACAGTAGATTGTGTAAATACCTGTAGATGCTCTAAAAGAAAACCTAATCTCCAGGTTTCTGAGAAACATCATCTGCGGTTTGTTTCTTCTTTACAGATTAGTCCTTCAATTTAGCATCAGTTAAAATAGAAGACTACACAAAATGATTCCTCTTAGCACAGTTACCTGTGTAGGTACACATAATAAATGAAAAACTCATTCCTTCGGTCATGACCATTGTGAGAGTTTTTGAGTTTTTTTTAAATCACAAGACGGTACTAGATTTCCTTCCCCCTTTCTTGGTTGGTAACCAAGAGTTGGACGGATCTAGCTCTTGAGTTAAGTTTTATTTCACTTTCTCAATTAACTCCTGATTATTTTCAAACCTGCTATCAGGCAATGGGATGCTCAACTAGCAATGCTCTTTTACTCTGTGCAAGATATAAAATGGCAAAGGAAGGTGTCCAAACAAAAAGAAAGTTGTCCAGAATTACACTAATGGCTTTTTCATTATTAACTCCTCAGTTATATGAAAGGGTTTTTCCTACACACTTCTCAGCTAAGATGAATGTGATAGCGAATAGATAATAGAATGCTCATCCTGAAAATATTTGGCAGATACTGTTTCATATTGAAACATAATGTACAATTGAAATGGCTTTCATGAATCAAAAGAGAGTGCAGATTTCAGATGCATGCACACACTGAAATCTGCAAAAGCGTAAGTCATAGCAAACCCCATTGTTCCTCCATGCTAAACAAAGGGAAAAATGATGCACGTATGATGTAACAGGGACATAATTCCATAAGCCTGATGTAGGAGAATGTATTTTATCCAGGGCAGTGGCCTGCTGTGCTTTTCTCAGGGAAAAAATTGTGTTGAGTCACATTCAGAGAACACAAAGACATTTCAGCTGATTTTGGAAGTCACTGTGGTCTGCAGAGCATACTGATTTCAGATGATTATTAGAAACTCAGAGACATTAGCATAGTTAAAAGACCATTTACTTCTTTAGCTAATAGTTCTATAAAAAGAAGTCCACCAAAATGAAAACTTCTGATAATATAGAAATAGAGAGAATCTCGCTTACAGAATCTCTAGTCTTCTTTAAAGCTGCTGTAGAGGCAAGGGTAGTCCCAGATAACGTTGTTTATCTATTATATAGTTTTCCAACATTTCATTAAAGACTGGGGAAAATAAAACAGAAATAATTTGCATTAATGCCACCCTGCTGTTATGAACACAATTGTAATATTTAGATTATCTAAATTCACATATCCAGTTCTTCTGTTTTAGCTATTGAAAAACTCTGTAACTCAACATTGTGAGAAGTTGGCAAGGTTTAGTTCATTTCACCTCTCCTGAACACATGACTTTCAAGACACAAAAACATTTCTTTTTTTTTTTTTTTTTAATAAGTATTTCTAATCTTATCTGAGGGGCCTTCCCATCAATGCCAGTGAATATTCTGAGGTGGTTTTATAGTTTGAGTTTCCCTTTGGTACCCGACAATAGGAATGGACATGTTGTGATGTGGAGGAAGGAGCACATCAGCACATATAGGGGAAACCATGTAATATTATTGCACTTTCAAGAAGTCAGCATGATACAGCTCACTGAAAATAGCTACATTCTTGAAGAGCCTTGCCTTTTTTAGTTGACAGGTTTAGCCTTCTGCTCTATTTATGTATGCTTTGTGTTTGTGCAGATCTTCTTGTTTTGTCTTTCCTAAAATTTCTAAACATTAAGCAATTTTGTACAGGATGTTAGCACTCTGAGGAAAGTTTGACTTTGAAACCTTAGTACATGCAGGTGTTTATGGTAAACTGGAGTTTAAAGTGAATTCTCTTATCTTTCTGTTTCTTCTAACACAAGATTAATACACGACGACTCTGTAGACAGAATAACTTTGTGATAAACTAGGTTTTAATGTGAGATATTTCTGTGCTGAATAATTAGCAGTCCCCTGAATTTTCAAATGGCTATATGGGGTCTCCTTCCAGTTAACAGTCCTCTCTGTATTATGTCCAGTAACTTTGGATGTTTTGTAGGCAGTTTTTCCTTCTTCTTGAGCAACAGTTAAAATATGTTTAACACTTAATAGAAGATGGTTTGTATATGCAACACACTAGGAATTACATGTTGGATCACTGACAGTGATCTCCTTATAAGCTGATTCTTTCTGAAAGCTCTCACCTATTTTGTGTTAGTTTTCTACTACCGAGGTTAAGAAATACTAGTGCAAATGTTAGTGTATGTCAAAATATCATATATTTTCAGGTGCTCTCGTTATAATTTCCCTTCATGTAATGATTAGGCACATGTCCAGATGGGGATTGTAATCTCCTTACTTCATATCAATGAACTGTATATTCACATGAGTAATCTCATTGACTCTAAATGGATTGCTTTTGCAGCTATCTGCTCCCTCACGGAAAGGCTGACAGTATGGTCTGTAGCAAAGCATTGTTAAAAGCTGGTGTCATAATGCAGAACCTTAAATTGCCATTGTCCCATGTCAGAAGCAGCCAGTTAGGAGGCTTAGGTGTGCTAAATACTGCATGATAAAACCTACAAAACTAATTTTTGTTGACCTGATTTTGTGTAGGATCTGCCTCACAGTAGAATAACATCACTAATTAATTTATTTGCATTAAGGTGATACAAGGTAAATTTATCATCCTTTACATTCTGATAGCAGTATCATCATTCCTTCAGATGCTAATTAATGCCTTTCTCATTCTAAACAGGGCTGTAAAATGGATTTAGGATTGAAAGACCATAACAACAGGACATCTACCAAGAACACCTCCGCTACTACAAAGAATTTTTCTGCCTGGGAAGACTATAAGAGTAGTGTTGATGACATACAGTACTTTCTTATCGGGCTGTACACACTTATAAGTCTGGCTGGCTTTATGGGAAATCTGCTTATATTAACAGCTCTACTAAAGCGTAAACAGAAGACAATAATAAATATACTCATTGGTAACTTGGCCTTTTCTGACATCTTGGTTGTGCTGTTTTGTTCACCTTTCACACTGACATCAGTCCTGCTTGACCAATGGATGTTTGGCACTGTCATGTGCCATGTAATGCCCTTCCTCCAGTGCGCCTCGGTTCTAGTTTCAACTTTGATGTTAATATCCATTGCTGCAGTCAGGTACCGTATGATAAAATATCCCCTTTCCAGCAGTTTAACACCAAAACAAGGCTATTTCTTAATACTGACCATTTGGGCCTTCGGCTTTGCAATTTGCTCCCCTCTGCCAGTATTCCACAAAATAGTGGACCTCAGCAAAACTCTGAATTTAGAGGCACTGGAGAACAGGCTTTTGTGTATTGAGTCATGGCCTTCCGACTCGTACAGAATTGCCTTTACCATAGCTTTATTGTTCATGCAGTACATACTGCCACTGGCATGTTTAACTGCTAGCCACACCAGTGTCTGCAGGAGCATAGGGTCCAGGCTGTCAAACAAGGAAAACAAGTTTGAAGAAAAGGAGATGATAAACCTAACTCTTCATCCCTCTAAGAGTACCAGCACACAGGTGCAGCCCTCTGGCCATTCTAGATGGAGATGTGCATTTGGCAGAAAGCACCACAGAAGATACAGTAGAAAGCTTTCAAGTGTGATGCCAGCTATTTCAAGGCATCATCAGGATACTCATTCCAGAGACATCCCAGAAAGCTCTGGCACAGAAAAAAGCCAGCTCTCATCCTCTAGTAAATTCATCCCTGGGATACCTATCTGTTTTGAGATGAAACCAGAAGAAAATACAGAGATCCAGAGCACGATTATGGTATCCCGATCCATTGTCAGAATTAAGACAAGATCTAGGAGAGTTTTTTGCAGATTGACAGTGCTAATCCTAGTTTTTGGTTTCAGTTGGATGCCTCTTCACCTTTTCCACATTGTGACGGATTTTAATGCCACTCTCATTTCTAACAGACATTTTAAATTAGTGTATTGCATATGCCATTTGCTGGGTATGATGTCCTGCTGCTTGAATCCCATCCTCTATGGGTTTCTTAACAACAGCATAAAGGCTGATTTAATGTCCCTTATTCCATGCTGCCAAATACCATGATTTTATGTGCCCCAAGATAATATCAAACAAACAAGTCTGGCTTTCAAGCCTACTGACGTGTAGCTGTAAAAGCTGTAATAGTTTAGTTTAGTTAGTCTGACATGGTTGTAATTAGTAGCATTTTGTGCCAAAGGATAGTTCTAAGGCTGCATGTATTTCTTGCATTGGGCAGAAATATATACATATGTTATAATATTCTTCTATCTGTTAACACACAGGAAATCCTGCCAAGTGTACCAAAGCAGTGTACCATTTTCATTACCTGAAATATTGGCAATCTGTACTTTGGAATGATACAGAATATTTAATGAGTAATAAATGTGAGACAGACAACTTGGACATATTAACTGTCATAAAACTATAATAAAATGCATACCATTTCCTAAATAACTGTTGGTGAGACTATTTCAGTGCCACTTTGACTGTTTTCTAAGATAATTAAACATCTGTTTCTGGATGTGATTAGGAAAATATTTTTCCTTAGCTCTTTGACTCATATTTTGTAGCATGTTTGCAAGATGTTTTGCTGCTTGTTCCCAGATTGCCTTATCCCTTGGAAAGGATTTGTGGGTAGCTGTTCTTGTCTACATTTTTTCCATCTCACTGTGTTTACCTGGAACAACCTATCTCTGATTTCCTTGCCAATTTTTACTCTGGTTTGTCATTTTATGTAATTTCCAGCCGGGTCTGAACTTATCTATAGTTACGCATTTGTTCTTACAGCGATGACTCCCCTGAACATAAGTCATGTTTCTGATCAGAGTAAGCCTTCATTACGTAAGTGATAACGGAAAGAAAAAGAAAATTGGAAGACAGCAGGATTTTTTCTTTTCTATTGCTGAAAATCAAAAGCTTACTGCACTTCATTATAGCTAACCCATTTGCTTTGGGGTGCTGCAACAGCTTTCAAATAAACACATGCATGTGCATGTGTGTGCAAAAACACACGCACACACACACACACGCATGCTTCCTGCATCTGTGTCCCTTCTCTCCTTTTTGACTAGATGAGTACTTTTCCTTCCAGATTTAAATCAGATTCCCTAAGGAAGTCATGTTACTTCTCACAGCACAAACGGAAAGGTTGTATGTATATACTACTCTCACCCTTCTTCCTCTCCTTTCCTCCCTTTCCCCTCCCCACCCCTGTTATTTTAACTTACTAGCTCATCTCCACCCTCAGGATTCAGTAAATGTACAAAGCCTCTGCCCTGAGTTTTAAGCTGTAAAATCTCTCCCTGGGTCTAGCTGATGATTGTTTCTTTTTCTCCACTAATATTTCTCACCCAATAGTCTTTTTTACTTAGCCTTTCCAAGCTAAGAAATGCAGTTATTACTTTTATAAATGAGTGGATGGGAAGGCTCATTGTGCATTTTCTGCCTTGAGATACTTCCCTTCCAGTTAGTCACTAAAAGCAAAAGCAGTTCTTTTATTTTGAAGAATCATCAAATTCTTTTTATAACACTGTTACAATTCTGAGACCTTTTCTGCCCAAGCCATCATCTGCTAAGGAGTTATTACATACCAGTGGGTAATATCTTTGCTTCTATCATTAAGGTATTTCCCTGAAGTCTAGTTCCCAGTAACCCGTTGTTCTTTGTTTTTGCTGGTGATATACTTTAATAGTTTCTTCCTGGGCACTGACTATTGCATTTTGCTGATTATTATCAACTAAAAACCTACAGTATGTCATTTTATAGAGTACAAATGGTACAGAATACAGAATATTGGAACAATAGATTTTAAAATAGCTTTTAAAAAGTTTTAAGTAGCTTAATTTAAAAATATTTATGGCTAATTGTTGTAGATAAACTTAGGAAAAAAATTAACTAAATCCACAGCCAGAACACAGTGATGTAGTTCTACAGATGTTACAGCATTTTCCCTGGTGAAGCCAATAATAATGTTCCTACTCTTTACACAGATCAAAGCACAACAAATTATAATTTGGCAATAGAGAATTAAATCAAGTCATCTATGGAACTTCTTCAGTCCTATGCCATCTAAATCTGTCATCTTCTCCTTTTTAAGATGATCATGGTAGGAGAATATGTATTTTCTTCTTATTTATAGACCAGTCATCGACATTATATTTTGACTTCTCCAAAATGTCATTGTCTTTCCTCTGAAATGTTAAATAAAATAACTTTTGCATCTTCCACCTTCCTTCAACAGCCAGTACAACTTGGTCCTAGTACCAGTAAGGAATAGGTAAGAAGCAGACAGTATCATCAGCAAATGAAATCAGGCAGCAGGCAATTCCCAAAAAAGTAGCTTCTATGAGTGGGAGAGGAAACAACTGGTGCATCCATTAAACATTTTCCCAGTCTAGAAAATTAAAAAAAAATAATACTCCAAACACAAGGATCTTTCCACCCCACGCTTGATGAGTTTGAGCTGCAGTAGCTATTCCTACGGGCTTCATGCACCACAGTGAGTGGCAGTGTGATATTGTCTCCATTATGTATGCCAGTATGTCTTGGAAAGATGAATCTCACCACAATATCCAATGATACTTTATCATTCTTATATGTACACAGGTGTATGTAGAGAAACAGATAGATATATGCATTTCCTAGAAAGAGAAGTACATTAAAATGGATTTTCAAAACGTACATATAAGCAAGTCCTTAGGCCAGTTAAACTACTCTGGGTCAATTCCTTCTGCAATTAAAAATCTAAATAAATGTGCAGGTGGGAGGTTTGTTTTGATAGCATCTGCTAAAGGCAATCAGGAAATGCCAGCTGCAGAGCCATCTATCTATCTGTTGGAGTTTGAAGAATGAAGGATTGTAATGGTACAGTGATTCCTCTCTATAAATAGTAATAATAATATAATGAAATAATAAAATAATAAAATAGCTGGTATTGGTCCCTTCTCTTTCAGCAGAGAAGAAACACGTGCCCATTAAATGCTGGTGTGGCCAGGTCACTCCTGAGCCAGCCAGGCCACTGGGCTGAGGATGCCAGGAGCTCAGTATGGGCTGATACTTGAGTATATTTATTTAGGTTGTAGGGAAGAGGTTGGAGCCTCTGTGTTCTCCATAGTGGCAGTCGTGGCTGAGACAGATGTGTATGGCTCCCATAGATCCAGTGAGCTGTAATCACAGCAGGCAGTGCAGAGTCTCTAATCACATCACAGGCAGATGCCTGATGGCTGGCGAGGAAGAGCCAGCCCTGGGCAGGGCTGTGGGCACCAGAGCGCAGGCAGGGACACAGCAGGAGAGGAAAAACACAATTGGTGCTCTATTTGCTGGTGGTTGCAGCCTTTCTAGGCATACAGCCCTGTTCCTGGAGTCTGGAAGTTCTTGTGACAAAATATTTTCTTCTCAGTAGTGTGAACACCTGAAGAAAGTGAAAAGAAATAAATTCACATTTGAAGTATGCAAGGAGCACAGTCAGGAAGAAGTGTTTGATCCTAATAATGCTGAGATAGGCTCCAGCTCTCCTGTTGAGAAGTATAGGCCAGGTGGCATGGAAAACTTCATTACTTAAAGATTATTAACAGATTAAAAACCTTTCTGAAATCTATAGGGGTCTGTCAGCTTTCATTGCGCTTTTGGGAAAAAATCAATAGCTTTCTCACAGTAGTCCCAGTATCTGTCTGCAGCATACAAGATAAACAGTATTAAACGTCATAGTCTCCAGAAAGGCATCCTTCATAAATACCACTGGGCCCAGGAATTTAGCCTTTGATTTTGATGAAAGCCAAATTATGCTATACTATTTACAGTAAAAAGTCCTAGCCAGAAAATATATTAGTACAATCTGGAACTGTCTTAGGGCAATGACAGGACTCTGATCCTACATAAGACTTTTTTCCCTCACATGACTGGAATGATGGTATAAAATCATGATCCCCCTGAAGTGTCTCTATAAAGACAGGTAAATTTCTGAACCATTTTTGACCATGATATATGGTTTATAACCTCTGAGGTCAGGTTTCTTCTTCTTCCATTTCATGTCATTTTATATACTGTTGAATCCAAACCCCTCTTTTTTTTCTCAAGGGCCTTTTGCACACAATATCTCATGAAGACTTCTGATGTTACTTGGTTTTGATCCAACAGTATATATTCTTACTGTACATATATTTAATTGGTTAAAAGTTGCCTTTCCACTGAAGGTAAGTAGAGCTATTTTTATTATACATATTCAGTTGAAGTGACTTTTGACAGGAAAAGAAATAAAAGACAGAAAGAGAAATAAAAGCATACCCACACTAACAACAGCTAACCACATTGTGCCAGTGACTAAGGAATGCATCAGAGACAGACCCTTTTCAAGCATCTGCCAGTGACAAGTTTGTGACAGTACCATTGAATGTTGCTAATCCAACATGTGACCAGGAAGACTATTGCAGATTTTTCAGTCTGAGAAAGTAACAGCTAATAAATGGGTATGGATACATGTGCTCTTACCCTCTCAAAATGTTCCCTTAAAGCAAAAGCATTTTCTTTCTGACCATTTTGATAAGGATAGCTTTGTCTGTGATCACTCATAATGCATCATTCTGTGCCATTAAGACAATCTGTGTCATCATACTAGGCAAGGATGGTATCCAAACACCAGTGAGTCTTACCACAGTATCTATTTTTAAATCCCTGCAAGCTCAGAGATACTTGCGACATCTGCTCTACTCCAAAGGTTACCAAGATCCCCTTGCCTCCTTATTAAATTTTGTTTCATTATATATAGTAAAAAAAATTAAAAGCCTAATACAGCATGTCCTTGGCAAAAATAGTCTTACTGATATCTGACAGAGACTTTGTCAAAATCCTGATTTCCTCAGAAATAATGTAACTGGAGAAAGGAACTTGTGGTCGCAGTGTTTTTCAAAAGGGCAACAGCTAGCATTGCTGTTATACAGTGTAACTATACAAGTCAGACCTTTATTAATCTTGTTTGCTTTTGAAGACAAGATATTGCAAAATATTTGAAAGTTATGAAATTACTTCATTATGCACTAATATAACAAAATACTTTAAAAGAAAACATTGCCACAATCCAAATTCAGTTTTTTTAACAAATATGAATGTTTTGTTTTGCCCTTGTAGTCACATTAAGATGATCCTTTTAATAATAAGGCTTAAAAATAGTCCTCTGGGAAATTATCAGAATAGTGATTTGACATTCAAGACTAAACTAGGTTGTCCCTGCTCTTACATCCACTTTAACAAATGTTTGCTTTGTCTTAGCAGAAGGCTCATGTCTGTATTACCTGGATGCCACATTAATTGGACATTTTGAGCATTTGAAACATTTATTACTGTCCCTGTGAACAAAATAATGTACAAAAGGATTTCAAAGGCATTTCTGGTGCAAAATTTCTCCAGAGGAGTAACTTGGTGTTGAGCAAACAGTTGTTCATGTCTTCAGACTCAGTAGG